GATGGTATCCTGATCATAATTTGATCTTGAAAAATACCTTAGCTCCTTTCAGTTGATCTAACAGATCCTCGATCCTCGGGAGTGGGTACTTATTCTTGATGATTAATCAATTTATCTCCCTATAATCGATGCACATCCTCATGCTTCCATCTTTCTTCTTTACAAACAACACCGGCGCACCCCATGGAGATACGCTTGGTCGTATGAAGCCCATATCTAGGAGTTCTTGAAACTACTTCTTTAATTCTTGTAGTTCCTTTGGGGCCATTCGGTATGGGGCCTTAGATACTGGTGGCACCTTAGGAATTAGGTCTATGGTGAATTCTACTTGTCTATCAGGTGGAATACCAGATAGATCTTCTGGAAACATATCTACGAATTCCCGTACTACTAGTACATCTTCAACCCTTATCGTCTCTCGTTTCCCTCCTGAGATACTTACTAGATATCCTTGACATGTTTCTTTTCTCAACATCTTCTCAGCTTGTAAAGTCGATACTAGTCGAATAAGGGGTTTTGTCTTCATTCCAAGGAACGGAAATGGTTCCTCTCCTGGTTTCTGAAATGATACATCCATTTCCTTACATCGGATGGTGGCGTAATTACAACCTAACCAATCCATGCCTAGTATTACATCAAAATCCTTCATTTCTATCATGTATAGGTTCACTTCTATTAGTTTTCCCTCAACTTCGATACTTACTGACTTGGCTATTCTATCAGTATTCAAAGGGTTGCCCGAAGGAATACTAACTTCTAATGTACCTTCCGACTTATCATAGGTAATACTAGATTCAGCCATAAAAGTTGTTGAAGCAAAGGAGTGTGTAGCTCCTGAATCAAACAATACATAAGCAGGTGTATTGGCTATTAGTAGAGTACCTGCTATGACATTAGAGTTTTCCTCTGCATCCTGTTGAGTCAATGCAAAAACTTGTGCTTTCCCTTTCTGGTTCTGGTCGATGTTATCATCCTTCTTCTGGGTATGTGTGGGACAATCCCTAAGGATATGTCCTAGCTTACCACATCGAAAATAGACATTTTTCCCTTGTAAGCACTCGCCACGATGTGTCCTTCCACACTTAGAACATGGCGCAATAATAGGCACAATGCTTTTGCTGGCATTGGCTCCGCCATTAGCTTTCTTGTTCTGCCACTTGCCTTTTCCCTTATCCTGGCCATTCCATTTCCTCTTTCCCATGTTATCATTGTCCGGTTGATTGAACAGTTGACCATGTTGCTCGGTGCTAATCTTCTGGTACCAAGTAGCATGAGCTCTTTCCAGCATTTCACGGTATGTGGTGAAGTGATGGGATATAAGTATCATGCTTATATCCGAGTTCAGCCCTTGTTCAAACCTTCGTACCTTCTTATCTTTTGTATCCACCAGATGTGGAGCATACCTTGAAAGTTGATCAAACTTTCTCTCATACTCAGTCAGGGACATAGTCTTTTGCTTGAGTTGGAGGAATTCACTTTCTTTGTGATACTTCAAGGACTGGGAAAAGTACTTGTCCATTACTTCCCCTTTGAATTGCTCCCAAGTCAATTCTACTTGTTGCTCAGGGGTCCTTGTCCTTGACATTGAGTCCCACCAGTGACTTGCATCACCAGAGAACATGAACTCAGCACACTAGACTTTTTGAGCGTCCACGCACCCTATCAATCGGAATATACGCTCCAACTTGCGAAGCCACTCCTCGGCTGCAAGTGGATCAGTTGCTTTATTGAAGGTAGGGGCTTGTGCCTTTGAAATTGTTCGCAATTCAAAGCATGGTTTGGAACATTAGGAGCTAGTGGTAGGGGTTGAGCTTGGTTCGGGTCTTACCTGCCTAGGTCTTGAACCGCTCGGAGTAGGTCTCTTATCAAGTTTTGGTTTACGGGGGCCATTTCCTTCAGACAAAACATATGGTTCTTATTAGTTTCATTCTTCGAATACTAAAGCAAAGAAGATAGTATTTTATTTCTTGACATAAGGGAAGCTATTACAAGGATTTAAATCTAATCCCTATAAGTTCTACGGATCTTCTTTAGTGAAGCTTCATTTTCGGATGAGTCTTCCGCCTTAGGTCCGGACTCCATGTCCATCTCAACATGTGGCTCAAGCTTAGGATTATTCTCTAAATCATCCTCGGGTTCTTTCTTCAGGATCTTCTTCCTCAGCCAAAGGTTCCTCCTCAGGCTCCTCATGGATTACATCATCCCACAAATCAATTAGGGCATGCAATACCTCTCAAACTCGAACAGGTTTAGGTTGTCTTCTAACATTTCATACCAAACCGTGACTCCCATATCTTCCCATTGAGGTGGGAGGGAGTGTGTGAGGTTATTTATGGCCTTGATATGTGTGATCTCCATTCCAGCATTAACCGCCGTCATGCGTCTCTCATAGATGTCATACACATGTTCGCTAAGCGGTCGAGTCGGATCAATTACATAGTTTTCATAGGAATGAATAGCGATTCTATGGTTCAATGCTTCTCTATATGCCCTAGCCGTTCTATGAGCCATATCTGTTGCATTTTCATATACATCATACTTTTTCTTTGCTTAAAGAAAACATGCAAATATTTAAACTTTCATATCATGCAATTCCCTTTAAGCCCTTAGCTTTTGCCTAAGTCCATTACATATCTTTAAATAACACATCTCTAAATCATATCAAAACATCATAACATAAACATAATCATTAACTTTAAACATAAACATCCCTGGGCCAAAGGATGAGATTGATGGATGGATGCACGATACCATGGGATGCCTTAAACTTTTCATTTTCCTTTTGGTTTTAAAAAAAAAACATAATTGGTCTACAAAACTGGCTAAATCGTTTTTTTTAAAACATACTTGATCTATAGAACCGACTAAACCGTGCTCTGATACCACGCTATAACGCCCCGACCCCTAGTGGACCGGAACGCTACTTACTTTACTTAGCTTAACCAGTGGTTTAGTAACAAGTGTATAAGTTTTAGCGGAAGCTTATATCTTCGGATAATAATTTAAATAGCAATACTTCAAATACTTTAAACAAAAAATACTGAATCATTTTTCAAAACAACAAAATGTAATTTATTTGAAGAAAACATAGCTTGTTCTCGCATTCTGCGTTATTCAAAACTTTAAAGATATAACATTGGAAAAGATTTCATAAAAATAAATCCAAATCACTTATTCACCAGATTTCCATGGGCTCGTTGCATCACTCTCCATCTTCTCCTCCATCCATGCTCGAGATAGAATTCCTTCAATCTGTAGAGATGGGATTAAACCCATGAGTTGAAAAACTCAATAGGTATCATAGGTGCATTCGTGATCAAGCTATACATTTCAAA